CAATAGGTTTAATGCTTTTCCTTCTAGTAGAAGGCAATTATTGTTTTTAGAAGGTCCTACGTCGAAATCTTTTATTTATTATAGTCATAACATAACTTTACGCCTTTTATCCCCGAAGCGGTAGGCAGAGGTACACATTACGGCACTTAATGCCACTGTACAATGTAACACACACTTTTCACTATTTATTTTATGAGTCACGTGTAAAATAGGCGGTTAGCCTATTGCCGTATACCGGGCACATTTTCAGACTCCGTGCTAATACTGAAATTTTTTTTTTAAACCCAGTAATACTTTGCCCGACCCGGGAATCGAACCGAAACCCCTTGCCCGGCAGTCGCACTTGCGACCACTCGACATGAATGAGGGAGAGATAGTACACGTATACAACACCGAAAACATCAGATAGTCCATTATTATGTCTTCGTTTTAAGTATTAACCGACTTCATGACACTAACAATTTCATATTTCGTAGGTAAATATAAGAAAGCACTATTTTCAGTACAAAACCCCAACTTACATTATCTTATTTGCTTTTTACTACATGCGTATACACAATAGTAAATATGTCTTCCAGACATATTGCGACCCAGGCTTGCAATACAAAAAGGCAGTCCTAAGCTCTTTAGCTGTAATAACTGGGCTTGTTACCCATTCAAGTCACATTTATGACTCGAACAAGAATATTGAGGCAGGCCCTAAAGCCCTTATGAACCAGATTACTTAGACACTGTGTATCGTACCTATTTCCATTTTTCCCAAATCAAAGGAAAGTATTATTTTTCCTCTTCTATAGCGCCGTATAGTAATGGTAGAGCAAGGAAAAAAGCAGACTTAATCTCTTGAAACGACTGGACACCTGACTACTATAAACTTACACGCAGAATACACACACATTGACACGAAGGACATCTGTCGCGTGACATAGGCCGTCATTACACTTCATACATTACGGTGTTCACGGTGTTGCAAGTACATGCACACATAAATACACCACTGACATTTTACTACTTCAATCATTTCTAAGTGACATTACGTCCACCTTTTTTTCAACATCCTTGTGATAGAGTATAATAGGGTAGATGCCTTATTTTAATGTCCGTCGGGTAGATTATTTTAAATCATTAGACACGTATTTTTTATTTTCTTATAGAAACGAATACTTTCGACGATATATTGATTTGAAATGTCGTGTGACGTCACTTCTATGTACATTGTATTAGAAATGACGTTTTAGCCCCACTCCTAAACTTTGATCCGTTTTATCTAAGAATTGTTTTATTATACGAAAAAATAAAACAATACGTGTCTAATATTTTCTCATTACCTAACTTACGGACTAGTTAGATGTGTCCCTGTCATCATCCCAATTGTCAACAACTCTGCCCGCGGGTGTCGTGCTGCGAAGAGCTGAATAAGATGCTCTCTGTGTTAAGTCCTAGTCAAGTTGAGTAGGTATCTTCGATCGTTAACGCTTTAAATACTGAAACAAATACAGTATAAGAATTTTTATCATCATCGATAAGTTAATAGTCACGAATCCCTATACATTTCTATGGTTGAGAAAAAATATTTTAGATTCCATCTTAACTTAGGATAGAAACACTGTAACTCACAGCCTAGTGAAATAGCTACAAGCCAGAAAGTCATTTAAACGAACAAACAATCGTAACTACTTATTTTTATTACTTTTCCCTTAACTTGATACGCGTGAAGGGTATCAACGCCACTTAATTATCTGTATGGAACGATAACGGTAGGGAAGCAATTAATTAATAGCTTACACATTGACGCAGAGGGCGCTGCAATCGAATTAGATACACCCCATGACGTTTCATGACTGCAATATTGTATGATCGTTAAGTTTTTTATTTATTGTTCTTTGGTTTTCTTTCTATCCTTTTTCCTTGGGTTTATCTTTAAATGGATATTAAAAACTATATTTTAATAGTCAATTTTCCTGAAAATAATGAATATTGCTCAACTATTTTATGCGTGCTGGGGGATCTCGGGTTCAAACCGATATCGTTCCAAATATTATAAACCTACGCAAGCAAAATAACTCTACAATAGAAGGTCACCACCGCATCCAACAGTAATTTAAACTTCGTGAAGAAGTTCTAAATTGAAATATCGAAATAACTTTAATTATTATCCGAATTTTGCGTGAAATTGCGTAGACAGATTAAAATCGGTAGATTATACAGAATTGGTCGGTATTAAAATCATTCACATCGATCGTAGTTTTTGTGGTACAGCATTCCCGTTAGGTAAAAGTAGCTTACGAATGTGTTATTCCATATCTAGCGTAATCTATCCCTGTGCCGAATTTCATACAGATCACTTCAGCTGTTTTACGTAATTGAGTAATAAACATCCACACAAACACAAAATTTCACATTTATATTATACTAGCTTTTACCCGCTTCGCTCGCGTCACAAAAGGGTAAAAAGTAGCATAAGTGGCATATACCAATACATACAGCGCCATCTATACCAATACTTTTGTTTTCCCTCGGGAATATCAAATTTTTCCGGGATTTTTACGTCTGTAAAAATTTAAAGCAATCGGTTTAATAGTTACGGCGTGAAAGCGGAACAAACAAACAAACTCACTTTCCGATTTATAATATTAGTAAGGATCATTATTTGAGACTCATATTGAGGTGTGGATCTGATGCACTATTTCACATGAACAGCACTCCTTCCTTCTTCTCTACCTTTCCCCTTCTGAGTGAAAAAAAAGGCGTGATGTAAGTATTGTGTTATTACATAATACAATAGCATAAACTACCAACCCCGGATGTTTGTGTGCCCATTGACACGTAAACGAGTATCAACATATAAATAACTTTAGTTCGTATTCAGTCAACCGAGATGTGAAATAATGAAAGTTATAAGGACCCCTAAAGTATCTTTCCAGTAAAGTAACATTGTCAGATTGTAATAGAATAATATAAATTGAAAATTATAATTACGACTTTTTCTTAAATGTATTTCTGTTGATTCTTAGATACGCTTGCTTCTTGCATCGACCATTGTTTTTGTCTTTGCATCACCCTAAGGTCTGGCTGGATGCTCCCGCCTGGGTGAGGCGGAAGGGAGTGTCAGACTCTTACTGACTAAAAACCACCCCGTTCCTTCTCCTGCACGTCGAGCCGGAGCCCCGGTTACCCGTTAGGTTCTCCGCGACAGGAGAATACCCTAGGCATTAAGCCCACCTTGTACATTAGTGTGTGCATGAAGTCGCTTAGAATAAAAAAAAAATTTAATATGAATACTTATTAAATCAAAATGGCTGTAGTTATATGGAGGAAACACAGAAATATTTATTATATCTGTGGGAGGAAGGGATATCTACCTGTCCCCAGGGCCCCAGTGTAGATTGTTACTCGATTACAGTGTGCTTTACATTTCGTTAACTCCAGTGTCATCTTAAAAAGATTTAGTTATTCGTTCATTATATGCCTATCAATGGTAAAGAATGACTACCAGATAAAATGGTACCAAAAAGCAAAAAACCACTTTCACAATAACATAACATAACATAGCCTTTTATCCCCGAAGGCACGGTAGACAGAGGTGCACTTTATGCCACTGTACCTCTACAATGTAACACCCACTTTTCACTATTTATGTTATGAGTCCCATGTAATAGGGAGTGAGCCTATTGCCATATATCGGGCACAATTCCAGACTCCGTGGTACCTACTCCTAAGAATTTTTTAAAACTCAGTAATACTTTGCCCGTCCCGGGAATCGAACCCGAGACCCCTTGCCCGGCAGTCGCACATGCGACCACTCGGTCAACGAGGCAGTCAGTCTTTCACAGTCTTAACCGAAAATATGAAAAACGAAATCGCCCATTTCATTTGGCATGTAGGATAGTATTTTAAAGACTGGTCTGGGATTAAAGTCAACTGGGATAGCTTTCAAGGAATATATTATTTTCTTCACAAAAATTCCAATTATAATCCTCTTTTCACTTCTGCCGAGAATATTGCGATGAATACAAATGAACTTCACGAAAGAATTTCAAATCTTTGTTACAATTAAAACGTCTGGACATTTATCTAGTATTTATCAAGTGACTGCCTCGTTGGCCGAGTTGTCGCAAGTGCGACTGCCGGGCAAGGGGTCTCGGGTTCGATTCCCGGGTCGGGCAAAGTATTACTGGGTTTTTTAAAAATCTCAGTAGTAGCACGGAGTCTGGAAATGTGCCCGGTATATGGCAATAGGCTCACCCCCTATTACATGGGACTAATAACATAAATAGTGAAAAGTGGGTGTTACTTCTATGTGCACCTCTGCCTACCCCTTCGGGGATAAAAGGCGTGATATTATGTTATCAAGTGCTAAGAAATTTTCAACAAAGACAAATGTCGGCGCTTCCAGAACATTGTTTTGAAATGTCTTAAACTCTTAACAGTTTGTCTTCTACGCTAAAGTTCAATATTTTTATATATTTGTAAGTCTAGAATAAAATAAAGAAACTTCGGCATTATTATCTCTCATCTTGTTTTTGCTCAAAAATTAATAGAACAGTTGTATCTACATTCTCAGTTTTGCCGAAAAGTTAGAAATAGTGTTATGAAAAAAGTTTTTATTATATGTTTCTACTAAACTTTTGAATTACTGACTTGAATTACTTGGCAAAAGCCAAGTAATTCAAGTCACACTCAATATATAACTAAGTTACACTCAATATAATAGATTACGACACAAACAACAACAGTTATTTTGGCTACCAACTTTAATTCACAGCTGGCCAATCGTCACCGCACCGTTGCAAACAGAATGGTCGCAATGGACACGCGTCACGCGGTTTATTACGAAATTAATATCAACAGGCCATTGACTACGATCACAGAATACTAAGCAATAATTAGACCCATGCACACCATTATTGGAAGAAATAAATACATTAAATCATTACAACACGTTACTATTGCCAGTCAGTGGAATGTTATTTAACTAGTGTCATCTTAATTGTGCTTTTGTATTCTTTGCAGGAAGAATGTGGCGAAGAAATATGGGAAACTATACTCCGGGAGTCTGGGGCCAGGAATACTGCCTTCAGTGCTATGCAGGTACAGCCAAACCTACATTTAATTACAGTAGCATTCGGCATCACAAAGTTGTTTGTATAATATTTCATACTTTTTGTTATTAGCAATATCCAGATGCATTGATGCTGCGTCTAGCGAGCGCTCTTGCTCGATTGATCACCAGGGACACAAACAGTCCCGCCCCATCCAGACCAAGCAGTCCTGCTCCTAGGAAACAGTCAATAAAAGCAAAGCCAAACTGGCGAAGCGCTTCAGTTCACACCGACAATAGAACACAGAGTTTCAAATGTCCATTCACAGCAACTAACGCCTTAAAAAATGTCACCAAAAAGGAAATAGAGGCTTACAAATCGTCAGAAGAAATAAGATCCCCCATAGCGGCGTCCACAGGAAAAATAAACGAAGTTAGAATCAGTGAGGAAGCTGAAATTGTCGCCAGGGAGTTCCATAGGAGAAGTCTGGGTATCAAATTTGAAAATCACAAAGTGAAGGAAACAGTTGAGGAACCAATACCAGAAACAAACCAGGCAGAAGTCCCTGATTCAAGTGAAAATGTTGAACCAGAAGCAACAACTATTGAAGCAGCCTCCAGCCAAATCGAGATGCCAATGTCTGAACCAGCCTCTCCAGAAACAGAAACTGCAAAAAGGAACTCTATTCTGAAGTCCTCAGCTCGTAAAACTAGTTGCACTTCTGCTTTAGAGGTGTACAAACGTCGAGGGTCCATTATTCCCCCTCGACCTCGTATGAACAGCCTCAGCGTTGTGAGCGAAGACAAGCTGTACAATATGAGAGAAAAGTTCGGCACTCCAGAGAAGGTGATGCACTTTTTCGGAAGATGTTTCGTCAAGTTCTTCAGTAATTATGGGTAAGATTGATATAGAATACGATACGACAATAATGATTATAATTATTGATAACATAACACACTCTATATTTTTGGAACGTAATAAGCTACGTAATTTGAAATTCGACGGGGCGTAATTTGAAGGGCGATCCGAGCAATATTGTTCATGAGAGCTAATAAAATCACTAAACAACTAACTAATATTTTACTTGCAAATGTTTGCTTATTATACAAAATTTAGGTACTTTACACTAAAACAAGTATTAACCTTAAAAACATCCTACGCTTGTTACGATAGGCCCTCTACATTGTTCATTTTTATTTTACCCTAACTGACTAGTTCTTAGACGAAAAATCAACGAAAAAGATTTTAAACGAAAATTACCCCTTTCGCGATAAACGAAGATAATCTTTTATATTTTATACATTGGCTCAAGATAAAAGAAAAATCCAAGATTAAATAGGAAAGTTACAATCCAGTTTTACTTTTCGTTAAGCATTTTCTTTGTTTGTCGCTTTTTGGTCCGCGCCAATGCCCAACAACAAGCTGCCAATCAAATGTTGCGGGTCGTGACGTCAAATAGGGTGAAGGAGTAAATATGTACAGGGGGTACAATTGGATACGAGTTTAAGGGAGCAAATCTTTCAAACTTTCGTAGTTACGTGGGTGGTAAAAATAATGTAATTTTAAACTTCATTAAAAGAAGTAAACAAATCTCCTTCTAATTAATATACTCTAATTCCTTTATCTGACTTAATAGTAAACACATTTATTTATTAAAAGAACCTGGAAACCAAATCATGAACGACAATATTTTACAAAATCTTTTTTTGATTTCCGCTAGTTACGACAAAATGATCCGTGCGACAGGACGTTACTTCTGCACGTTCCTGCAGTCAGTGGACAACATACACCAGCGTATGCGATTCACATTCCCGCGCATGCGCTCTCCCAGCATGCAACTCACTCGTGCGCACAGGCACGGTGCCGAGCTTGTATACAGCAGTGGAAGGACTGGGTTTACACATTATCTTATGGGTAAGATGAACAGATAACGCTAGGCTGATGATTTGATGCGAAGTATCGTGATGGCTGGTCAAACATCTATACATATAATAAAAAGTGGTTCATGTCAATCGGTTCGTAAATAAAAAAGTTATGTCAAATTAAAGAATCACGTCGAACACTATTCTATGCTTATACATACAAAACGACTGTGTTTATGATCCAAAATAAAAATAAGTATATATTTAAAAAAAACGCTGCTAATAGTCACTATTCCACGCGAACGAAGTCGCGGGCACAGCTAGTCTATACTAATATTATAAAGCTGAAGATTTTGTTTTTTTGTTTGAACGCGCTAATCTCCGAAACTACTGTTTCGAATTGAATAGTTCTTTTTGTGTTGAATAGTCCATTTATCGAGGCAGGCTCTAGTCTATAAAACATCTCGCTACGACCAATAGGAGCCGAGCAGAGCGGGTGAAACCGCGCAGAAGTAGCTAGTGTTAGATAACTCTGGCCCTCAGAAGCCTTTTGAAAATGTGTATCCCCGTTTTATGACAAAAGTTTTATAACAGTGCTACATTTCAGGACAACTATACGAAATAGCCGAAGACATATTTTCGTTGAAGCTGAAAGTTTCGGTGGTGAAGGAAAGCATGGAGGGCAACTACTATGTAGCGGTACTGAGACTGGAGTTCGATAACAGTGATTATGTAAGTATACTTCTATTTTTAAAACGAAACTAAATGTTTGTCTACAGGTAGGTCTAGGTCTATAGGTGAACATTAGCCTTATGAGTTCTGTGAGTACAACCTGTTGAATTCTGTACTACCGAGCTTAGATTCTTACAACTTTTGCTATGACAGAAAAACTGTTTAAGGCTAAAGGAAATCTTCCGATAATGCTCAGTAAACATTGACCGCGTTGACAAATGTCTTTGAATATCATTTTGATCGATTTATTTAAAAGGAGAGGTTGGTAAAAAATTAAAAAAGAGCATAGGCATTTTGTTCAAGTTCATAGAAATAATGGGGGTGCAAATAAAAAAGAATAAATAAGTTTTTAATGTCACTGTTAAACATTTTCTTGGGAAGACCTAGATCCAGGTTGTTGAGAGATATGTCAGAAAAGTCATCAATAAAATATAGCAATTTCATAAGCTGCTCATGATATAACTCCTTTCCATTTCATAACTATAACTACTACATGCTTCTTAGACTGTATAATAAATCAATTTAATCTATATATATAAAATTCAAAGGTGATTGACTGACTGACTGACTGACATAGTGATCTATCAACGCACAGCCCAAACCGCTGGACAGATTGGGCTAAAATTTGGCATACAGATAGATGTTATGACGTAGGCATCCGCTAAGAAAGGATTTTGATAATTTCCACCCCCAAGGGGGTAAAATAGGGGATGAAAGTTTGTATGAGACTTTGTCAGTTTTAAACCGATCGTGTTGTAATTTGGCATGCAGATAGATGTTATGACGCAAGCATCCGATGTGAAAGGATTTTGATAATTTCCACCCCCAATGGGGGTAAAATAGGGGATGAAAGTTTGTATGAGACTTTGTCAGTTTTAATCGGGTTGAAATTTAGCATGCAGATAGATGTTATGACGTAAGCATCCGCTTTGAAAGGATTTTGATAATTTCTACCCCCAAGGGGGTAAAATAGGGGATGAAAGTTTGTATGAGACATTGTCAGTTTTAAATCGATCGGGTTGAAATTTGGCATGCAGATAAATGTTATGACGTAGGCATCCGCTGTGAAAGGATTTTGATAATTTCCACCCCCAAGTGGGTAAAATAGGGGATGAAAGTTTATATGAGCCTTTGTCAGTTTTAAACCGATCAGGTTGAAATTTGGCATGCAGATAGATGTTATGACGTAAGCATCCGCTTTGAAAGGATTTTGATAATTTCCACCCCCAAGGGAGTAAAATAGGGGATGAAAGTTTGTATGAGACTTTGTCAGTTTTAAATCGATCGGATTGAAATTTGACATGCAGATAGATGTTATCACATAGGCAACCGCTAAGAAAGGATTTTGATAATTTCCACCCCTAAGGGGGTAAAATAGGGGATGAACGTTTGTATGAAGCTTTGTCAGTTTTACACCGATCGGGTTGAAATTCGGCGTGCAGTTCGGATATTATGACGTAAACGTCCCTTCAGAAAGGTTTTTGAACATTCTCACCCCAAAGTGGGTAAAATAGGGGGTGAAAGTTTGTATGATACTTTGCCAGTTTTAAATTGATCGGGCTGAGACTTTGCATGCATAAAGTTACTATGACATAGGTATCTCTTTAGAAAGGATTTTGGTGAATTCCACCCCTAAGGGGATAAAATAGGGAATGAGAGTTTGTATAAATCTTCTTAGCGTTGAATTTAGAATCATTGAATCTTTTTGAATTACATTCGGTAAAACGATGATTTAGGACCTGGGTAACGTATGATAGTTTTTTCACAGATGTCTCACGAGGACGGGAACTATGCGTCAATGCCCCAGGACTCTCTAACTCTTAACCACTGAACTTATTCTAGAGAGATTCGGTACAACAATAGTCGATAGAATAGTTTTTATTACTCAAACCTTACGTGATCGGGCACTGTACTGGTAAGATCCCTGCGGGATTATTTATTTATTGAAACTACGATAAATCATTTCAAAATAGGTAAATCTTACTTGGGCACTGAATTGATTCTGGTTAATTCTGTCAGAAGTCATTAATCTACGCGGACGAAGTCGCGGGCAACAGCTAGTACAACACATAAAACTCAAACAAATTATTATCATCTGTTCCGTTATGTCAATATCAAATTAGCCGCGGTCTTATATTACAAGCTTCACACTTAATTAGGGGCAATTACTTGAGACGCGGCCATAAAACGTGATATCGACGTATCGGTTCAATTAATTTGTATTTTCTGTCAGTGAAACTTGCGCAGTTATCTTTTAGAATATAATAGAATAAAATAGAATAGAATATATATTCATTTGCTCAGAATGCAGGTATTCTTTCTGTGGTTTCACTCTTGGCTGAGCGGTCGTGGTCACATAGGCAGCTTTATCTGTGTTGGAGGCGGGTACTGCTTTCCTCACGATCTCCAGCCATCTCTCCCTGTTTGTGGATTGTCTGGCGCAGTCTGACACTGGGTTTCCCGTTGCCGATTTGACTTGATCAGTTCAGCTTTGACTTGATATGTCGCCTCGTGATCTGATTCCATCTCCTTTCCCCTGAACGACCAGTCGATGCGCGGCTATAGTTAGTTTAAAGGAAATAGACGTTAGATTTCCGTTTAATATCAGGAAGATGGCAGTCTCATAATATCAAGACATTTTAGAAGTTTTTAGATTGAGTAAAAATGTTGAAAAGTAAATATTGTGTAGGGTCTTACTGCTTCTGCTTTCTTTCAACTTCTTTAACAGCTGTTACTTTTTTTTAATAAGAACGGCAGAAGACATCCTCTGTATACCATACAAACCATACAAACTGTATACCAAAAAAACAATAAGAATAAATTTTTAATTAATTTACACAACACAACAAAACAAATAAAGTTCAGAATCTATTAAGAACCTTGACAGATTGGGATATCTTCAAGTGCTGCTGGCATCTTTAGGTACGTCTTGATATCTTACAAAACCAATTTCCGTTTAAATCGTTTACACAAACTTCGTCTTCAATAAGACTTTATCTGATAAGATTAAGGAACTTCCATCTTTGTTTATTATAGATTTTCTTCGGCCTATTTACTCCATAAATATATGAAGTGTTCGCTTCATTGTTCTTGTTTACTGTACTTATAATCTTGTGTCTAATCCATATTATATGACAATCTCCATGAAGATGAGAGATTGTCATAGAGGTTCGTAGACCTTCAGTAATGTCAAGGACACAAAGGATATATTCTTGTGATTAATCTTTACCTTATTTTGTCTTATACCACTTGCAAACATTTTTATCTGAAAAAAAAGGCATTGAAAATTGATTCCTGAAATGACATCATGAAAGTCTATTTGAAATTCAAGAGTTCTCCTGTTATTTGATATCAAAAAATTGAGTACCTATAGTTAGTGTGGGACGACTGTTCTTATGTACAACTATAAAATACACTAGCGGACCCGACAGACGTGGTCCTGCATATCCACTTGAATGTATAAACAAAAATTCATTCAAATTAGTTCAGCCGTTTATGATAAAAAACCTAGACATCGACTGCAGCGTCATCTGCCGGGCTGGTTTGTGAATCTAAACCATTCCCAGATCCCTTTGAACACACAAAAAAATTTCATCAAAATCGGTCCAGTCGTTTGGGAGAAGTTTAGTGACATACACACTCACAGAAGAATTATATATGCATAGAAACCTTTTACAAGGAACATACATGGGATAAGACCCAAATATACTTGGTGAAACTTGTCACCTTTGAGAAATTAAAACTGCGATACTATTTTGTAATTAGTTATAATCATTATTGAACATCAAGGATGCTTACAAAATAAATAAGTGCCCTACAAACATTTACGTCCAATTGTAATCTCAACACATTTTTCTGTTTAAGTCTTCAAACAAACAATCTTGAAGCCAATTCCATTGGAATACAATGTTGAAACAAAACAAATACCCACTTGAGAAACAAAGACTGCAATAAAATACAGAACAAAATGGTCGATATTTCGCTTTGTATTGAAACAATCTCGTTTCAACGTATTTAGGTACTGGAAACAGCTGTTTAGAACCATCTATTATATTATACCTTTCTAGTTCTACCTGTTACGCCACTTGATTAAACCTCTCCTAATTATGTTAATTCATTTTATTATTGTTTTTAAAAAAAACGTTGCCCCACATTAGGTTTTGCTCCTGTGTCGTAGGTGTGTTTACAAACATACAAGTCCACATACACATGACACCCAGACCCGGAACAACAATTTGTGGATCACACAAAGTGTTGTTCCGTGCGGGAATCGACACGTTGCACGGCAGCCGGTTGCCCAGCCACCGCACCAACCGTGCAGTCAAAAATTCATTTTGACTGGGTCTTTATTGAATTTTTTTGTAAACTTCATACTTTCACCTGGTGTTTAGTTCAAGTTCCTTTTTTTTAGACCTCAGTCTGGGATTGCCTATAACAGTACACTCGCTTTATCATCACCAACGGCCCGGCAATTTCCATAATTGACTGGCCGGTTGAAGTTCTTGCCGCAAACCTTCATAAAATATAATAGAAATTATAAACTTCTAAAGTAATTTATAACTCGCATAACTTAATCTTGTAATAACATTTTAGACATAGGATTTTAAGCCTATTTCGTTGTTTTTTGCGTTAAACAACTTATACCTAATTTAAGAAAATAACGGAAAAAGATACCTACAATGAAAATTAGCATTGAACAATGAAAGCTAACTAAAAGGAAAACTGTGTTATTTTATTCGCATGTTATAAAGAAGAATACTCCTTAGGTATTACAGTCATAACCTTATACTTTATCACACATCATCTATACTTGGGAGGCAGAACCCTAATGTTCAATGAGGCGTGTATACCTAAGTCTTAAAAGTAAATGTGAGAACCTTTTATACTTAATATTAAGAATACCCTAGTTTATCGACCGAGAATGTTTTAAAATGCAAAGATCATTTTTATAAATTCTCAGTAGTAGCACGGAGTCTGAAATTGTGCCCGGTTTATGGAAA